AAAATTTTTTTTTGTAACATTTCAAAAAGTGAAACTTTAATAAATTCTAGATTCATTATATGTAAAGTAAAACATTTCAAACGTTTTTGTGTTTTCATTTTGATGACTAGAGCTTACAGCTCATGAAAGTCAAAAATCCAGTATCTCAAAATATTAGAATATTTACATTTGAGTTTCATTAAATGAGCATCCCTACAGTATAAATTCCAGGCTTTTTAAACCACAATAATTTGGAAGACTGCTGATTTGGCAATGGTCCAGAAGACAATCACTGACACCCTCCACAAAGAGGGTAAATCACAGAAGGTCATTACTAAAAAGGGTGGCTGTTCACAGAGTGCTGTATCAAAGCATATTAAATGCAAAGTTGACTGGAAGGAAGGAATTGGGTATAAGGTGCACAAGCAACAGCGATGACCGCAAGCAAAATACTGTTAAGCAAAGCCGATTCAAACACTTGGGAGAGCTTCACAAGGAGTGGACTGAAGCTGGAGTCTGTGCATCAAGAGTCACCACGCTCAGGCGTCTTCAGGAAAAGAGCTACCAAGCCACTTCTGAAACAGAAACAACGTCAGACCAGGAGATTTTGGAGCACTTTATGCTTCCATCTGCGGACAAGCTTTATGGAGATGCTGGTTTCGTTTTCCAGCAGGACTTTAGCACCTGCCCACAGTGCCTGACCTGAACCCCATATGGAATCTATGGGATATTTAAAAAAAAAAGATGAGAAACAGTCGATCCAACAATCCAGATGAGCTGAAGGCTCAATAGTGCCTCAGTAGTGCCACAGACTGATCGCTTCCATGTCACACCTCACTGATGCTGGAGTTTGTGACCCGACCAAAGGAGCCCCGACCAAGTATTGAGTGCAGAAATGAACATACTTTAAAGAACTTGAACTTTTCTGTGTGTGAAAGAGAGATAATTAATTATAATTATAACAATTATCATTACAGTAAGCTGCTGTGGTTAAAAGTACATGTTGAATTTATGAAACATTTTGATGGACTTAGATGGAAACATCAAATTGTCACAAAAATAAAGTCACAACTTAGAAAGACTTTATGCAATGATTTTTCTTTTATTTGGGGGTGAAATATGTTTTTGCCAGGCAATATTCATCCATATTATGGCTTTGACGTCTTACACAACTAGCACACCATAATCTCAAAAAATTCCTGAAGTCCATCTTTATTGCAGAGGTAAAACTGTGTACCCCAACAAAGTTTGTATGGTGGAACACAAACATAAATTTAGTGTCTTTTATAGGCTGTTGTAAACATCGGTAAGATAAGGAACTGTGTGGAGAACTGTAGGAATTTCAGTCCTTCTAGAGAAATCAATGAGACATCGCAGTGGAATGCCTGCACATGTATGTTAGAGCACTTCTGAAAGCAAAAACGTCTAAATCTGAGACAAATGTTATCAGCTGAATGAATAAATGTGATAAAATGTCACACAACTGATATCACACAGACCTCTCAACATATCTCATTTCCAGTGAAGTTGAGATCTCTTGGAAATAGTTTCTCCTAGACAGCGATGAGATTAAATTTCTTTTGCAATTTATAGATCTCATCTAGTCTTTCAGAAGACATCTCAACAGAGTCTGAGACCTGGACATCCCTAAGATGAGGTGGGATATTTTCTCTGAGACCAAATCTAGGTCAAGGAAGGGTGTTTGTCTATACCTGCTCATGACTTGTATTGAGTTTGACTCACAGAAGCACATATGGACTGAACAAAAGCCAACATCCCAAGAGAAATGACCTTCCAGAAACATGGTCTGTATCTTCTTCCCTGTGACCCTTTGACCCCTGACACCCCTGCTCTTAATGCCATGGGCTCCAAACCCTTTCAGTGTCAAATAAGCTCCTTTCAAACAAAGTAGACAAGCTTTCGAAGAGCAGCTGCAGGTTTTGGATGTGAATGGCTCACTGTGATTCTCTATTGATCCAGGGGAGTTTCATTTTCCATGCACAGCATTACAATCCCATTTGCCTAGAGACGGCTCTGAAAATCAGAGTAAACTGAAAAAGATTACAGAGAATAAGCTGTCAAAATAAATGACACCGATTTCATGCGTCATTGGGAAGCCTATTGAGAGGATTTATTCTGAGAGTGACTTCTTCGCAGCGGTTAAAGTGCCCTCATCACTCATTCAGTCTGCTTGCAACCGTCTTTTGTGTTTTGTTTAGATTGTGCTTTGCTTATCTTGACAACTTCTTTCAATATAAAGTGTGGCAATAAAATGTAGCCTCAAATCTACTTCCAAACACAAGAGGAAAACAATTAAGACATTTGTGATGTTGATGTTTTACCTGTTGATTACCTGAAGCAGTTGAACAGGTTTCTGGGTAATCTTTAACAGAGATGGATGTGGGATGTTTGCTGTTCTCCATATTGTGGGCCAAACTGTGGATTTTTTTCTTTGTTACACTTTCCAAATTCCAAATAGCAAATAGTTAATTTTTCAAAGCAAGTAGGTCTGACTTAAGATTAATACTAGTTAAGAGCACTATCAAAAATAATAATTGAAATCATAATTAGTGGTTTTATTGTGGATAATAGATCAATAAATATATTTTAGATTTCACAATTACTCACTCTTTAATAATACTATTAACAGATAATAAAATAAACAATATTATAAATAGTGGTTTTATAATAAAAAATTGAATTACTGATGTTTGATGAACATTTTATAAAAAGCTTTTAAAACACTGTAGCAACACAATGCCAATTAATATATATTATATAATATTATATTTAAATGATAGATAGCAGATAATTATAATTTATTTTAATATTACAAAAACTATGTTTGACAATACATAAAAATACCTAAAAACACTAGCTATTAAGTCATCATTTATGAAAGTCATAAATAATATCATAATCTTCTTTTAAATTATGAATTGTGGATGAATAAAATAATCTATGATTAATATTATAATTTTTAATGGTGTTTGATGAGCCAAATTCTTTAAAACACCTAAGGACATGCAAAAACGCTATTCTGTTTGAACCAGACAACAGTAAAACTGGTGTAATTTATGAGCGAATTTCTATTTTATGAGATTAATGGACCCTTTTGGATGAAGACTAACACGTCTGTGATCCACGATTGACAAAAATTATGTCTGCTTTTCTGTAAAATAGGTCACCATCTCGAGTCTTGACTTGTCTCATCAAGACCTGACAGAAAGCAGCAAATGTATGAAAGCCTGATATCTCACATCTATAGACAATCTGGTGCTTCACAAAGATATATAACATGATTCAAGTAGATTTAAGACATAACAACAAAAGTAGGACAGAGATTGGCTGGTGATTTACCATCCAGAAAATGCTAAAAAAAAACAACAAAAAAAACACCTAAGCAATGACTGGCTACTTTACCTTAGTGCTTACACTTACCTTTCAACAAAAGCACTTTTCTCTGAGTCACTACACAGAAAAAAAGGTTTGGTGGGTAAATACAATCTGACACATGACAGAATGAGCTATCAGGTGTACTTGTGGGAGTATTTCCTGTGGGGCGACAGTATTTGTCATGAACTAAGATGATAGGCTATTAAGGTGAGGACAGTTATTTCCGGAGTGGTATCTGAGAGACACTAACACAGGACTTTTGTATCACATGTCTGCAAGGGTCTTTTTTACGGGAAGTCACCCCATATCAACCTACTGTAAGTTCCAGTCAAGAAACAAAGGCTTGTGACTCAAGCTATAGGCCACTTTCTAACTGTCGTTACATAGATAAGTATCTAGTATCCTGTCACAGATAAACTGATATGTAGCAGATCTAGACACATACACTAGTTAAATGGTGGCCAGTATTTTATTTAGAGACTGTCTCCAGTTATATCAGACCTCTATTTCTGATGCAGAAACATGATGTACTAGCTATTTGTAAACTTGGCATGTTGATCCATATCAGCCATTCGTATTCTGATATACAGTATGATATATGATCAGATGATCTAAAATAACATAAAAATAAAAACATAAATATAAAAGTCCATAGATGACATACTTTTTTTTACTCCCAAAGTTTAATATAAGAATAAGAAAGATGATTTTATATACATCAAAACAAGTAACAAAAAGGAATATATATATATATATATATATATATATATATATACACACACACACACACACACACACACACACATATATATATATATATATAG